GCCTCCCACCTTTTCTATTTTTACAAGTTAGATCTGCAGCCCTCATCTCAGTTTATGTATAGAAAATGTGACCCTTCATGCCTTTCAAACCAATACACAAAGCAGCTATATTTGGACAGGAGCATAACTGGAGAAGTGTCCAACAAAGTGTGCCAGTAGAACTCTAGCACATTTCCTATTTTAACAGTCTGTAATTTGAGTGTTTGTTCTTGAGTGCCTTAAAATTATGCCAATTTCTAGAGATTAGAGTCTATACTAAGTACTCTCCATGAACAGTATACAGTGGATCTCTGTTTTAGTTGGAATAAGGTATATATTTGAACTGACTGCTCATTGCTTGAAAAAGCTATTCAGCCAGCTATAAAAATTGTGGTTTTGACGTGGGAATGTTCTGTGGCATTGTTTTACATAGCAGTGGTTGAATCTGAAACTTTAGATTCTCTTTGGACACTTCAGCTGTGATGTGGTTTGAACTGGAGTACCCAAGGTTCTCTTTGATTCCCTACCAAGGGAGAAGTAAAATATTATTGCATGTTTTTGATGTCCAGAGATGTCTATGTTACTTTCTCTGCAGAATCGCCTTGTTATGTTGCAGGTATTACCTTCCTGGTAAGTAATGATCATTAATTTATTTTTATGGTGCAGGAAATAAAATTGAAGGAGTCAAGATTATAAACTTGAACTGAGTCTAAATCACTCATTGGAAAACATTTCTGTTCACAGGCTGAGTGGTGATGAAATGTTAGTAAAAGTCTCTTATTAATCCTATTTCATATACTGACTCAAAACACAATCAGGTGTATATCCCAAGACCTGCTTCAGGCAATGCAGCTAGAAATTAGATAAAATAATTAGCATTTTGGTTGCTGTACACTATATACAGCCTAAGTGTTCTTTGAATAAGTTAAAGTTCTTGAAAAATGTAGATGTAATGTTGATGTATTACTAAAAATCTTTATGTGCATGGGTGGGTTACCTCGCTCCTTAAAAAGTAATGCTGCCTCCTGGCAGAAGAAATAAATCAGTAAATTCAGCTTCTTAATTTACATGACCATCTAGAACTTGAGAAAGACTACAGAAACACATGTACCAAAAGACTCTGATTTTATGATCTAATTATTTTGACAAATAGATATATTGCTGGTTCAGGGAGTCTGATGTGGTGCAATTGTTGCTGCAGATTAAGTTCACAAGGCAGTGAGTGTTTTTCAGACCATATTATTCACCATTCACTGTTAACACAAATTGGCTTAATTTCAGCTAGTGGGGAATCGTTTACTAGCTTTCCCTCATATGTAATTGGAAATTTATAACGAAAGATGTATATTTTCAGCTGAGTTTTTACATTTTCATTGCATTTGAATTAGACATTTTTGAACCATGCATGAGCATTAGCTGCAAAAAGGATGATCTGAGTTTTTAGAGTAGACTGTGGAAAATTATGGAACTGCTAAACTCCATTTCTGACTGGTTTTAGATGAATTGAGGAAGTTTCTTTTGGAGTTTTGCTTAAGTAAGTCCCATAGGATTTGGATTAGTTTGCCTGTCTTCAGTAAGAACAACAGTGTAACTATGGTTTGTTCTTAGCCTGTCACAACACAAATGGCCTCTTGAAACAAAGATCTACAATGTCAACTTTGGTATGCTGTAAGAGTATGGACTTCAACTTTGCTTAGTCAAGAACATTATAAAAAAAAAACTGCAGATAGAAGGAAAAAAAGCAGAGACTTTATAATGAAAAGACTCAGCTGTTTAAAAATAGATTGAGTCCTATGTGATCATTTTCTAAAAAATAAGCTGTAACAGTTATATTTTTTAAAATAAAATAATTCTGCTGTGCAACTTTTCCTTTATTCCAGCAGAATGGTGTCATGTTGAATTTCATTGCTGACCCTGGAAAGCATCTTAGGTGGCAATGGAAAGATCAAGGCCAATGTCAAATTTTTCTAGTTTATGTTTCTCCAATGCTTTCAGAGTTTGGAGGCAAGATGAAGTCTGACTGGATTGAGGGTATTATATTCCCACATAGGTCTCATGGAGAAATTTCTTGGGACTAAGAAAATTATGAAAGAAATAATCCCTTATTCTTTCTGGCTAAGCATAAGATGTGCATATGTGAAATACAACTCATGCAAGGCTTTTAAAAATCTCTTATTTCAGACTGATACTTATGACTCTGGAGGATATCCTCAAATAATGAAATTGCTATTAGCAAAAGACCCTCTTCCCCTGGATCACATGAATGCCACTGTGCTGTGCTGAAAGAAGAAAATAAGAATGTATTATTTCATTTAACGGCAGAATGAAAGCTGGAACTGGTTTCATATTTTTCCCCGTATTTTCTTTTCCGCACTCAGTCATATCTGCATGGCTGATGGTTAACAGTGTGCTTTTCTTCTATGTGAGGAAGCATTTGTTATTGCTTGCTCACTATTTTCCATAGCAACACAATGTCTCTGTTTAAGATCCAGTAGAGATGAGCAAACAGAAAAGCCTTTAAGAAGCAGTTGTAGAAGAAGCTAAATTAAACTTAACTCTTTCAGGTTAACTGTGCAGTCATTATTTATTCTGGTATTAAAAATGTCTTGCTGAGGCCCAGAATGCCCTCAATCTCTAAGTGCAGTAATAGCCATATTGGGCCAGATCTGCTGTCATAGCACATCTCTGCCAGCATGGGTAGCGTTTCCTACAGAACAAAAAAAGCAGGGCAGGCATGACATGACGAATGCCCTGCTATACCCTATCCCTTCTTCCATCCCCGAGTTCCTATAAGCTGCAGCTGAGGAACTTTCTTGACTAGAAGAGCTGTCTGTTTTTAAATGTAGGCACATACAAAGTGATTATATTGAAAATAATTGTATCCTTTATTTACTCCACTAATGGCAAGGGACAAATCGTAGTCTGTTAGTTTGCACACTGCACTCATGGAACATGTAAGAAAAACAAGGCACAAACCTGAGATGGGAATGGGACACTACCTGAAAGGTCCAAATAATTTATTGAAAAATTTTAAACCACAGAATAAGTATGGAAGCGCATCTCTGTAGAATCCTTTTTCTTACCATATACTATGTTATCTCCCTGGTGATAGCAATAGTAGCTAAGAACAACAGAGGCAGGTAAAGAGCGTTACCTGATCAGTCTTTCCTGTCATTGCAAAAGATTTTGAGCTGAACAAACCATTCACCAGCACTGCCAGCTCTCATAAACTTTGTTCTAAGTCCTTCCATATAAGAACAGTGCTTTAAGTCCTAAGTCCTGGAGTAATTTGCTATGTTGTAATTTCTGCCCTTTTACATTCCTTTCGCTTAAGTTTATATCCCTCCTGACTGCACAGAAAACCTTGAAAACACAAATGCTAAAGCCTAAGAACATAACAGAACAAATGAAAAGAATTATCTATTTTCAGCTCCCATGGTAATCAAGCCAAACCCAGATCACGTGAGCCTTGTTCAGACAGGCCTGCCAATATCTCACAGAGTTGCTTGACCTGCTAAAAACGCTCCATCTCTGCATCAGCCTGGCCTTTTTCTTCAGTGTCTGTCCAGCCAAGCATGCTGCCCTTACTTTGACAACAGAAAACATCCTAAAGTAGTCATGTACTTAGTCTTCACTTTAGAAAATAAAGAATTGCTATTGCTTTGAAAATAACATTTAAAATGAACGTTTGCTGATCTCTGACTGCTCATCAGCAGCTCTTGGGTTTATAAAATGAATTTTCTATTTAACAGAGATAAATCTGGATTGCAAGCAGAATGCTCCATCATTGCAAACCATATGGAGGTGGTTTGCAAATACTAGTGAAACACGCACTGCGAGAACAGCAGTGCTCTGGTGAAAAGGGCATTGAGTACATCAGGACACAAACAAATGCGAAGTCTAAGCAAAACAGTATCTTTTTGTCACCTTCATGTAAACTGACCTTAGAAACTCTCATTTCTGGTTTTAGTCACCTTTATATTTGTGGTTAGTTTCATCACCAGACCCACACAACTGAGTAGCAGCCATTTTACACATGACTTAAAGCTACTGTATTGTATCAAAGTGTATATGTAGGATATTATAATTAAGATTTTTCTCTGCTACCACAAAAATTTGGTTATAGATGCTTTCAGATACTATTAATCAACCTTAATATGTCCAGTCATAGAATTATGAAAATATCAAGGGATAGTGGATAATAATATAGTATTTTCACCTCAAATACATTAAGTTAATGGAAGCAACAGAATGACACAGAATAAGTAGCAGCACAAAAACAGAGTAGGGAGAAAACAAAAAGTACCCAGGAAGGTAGGTCTTTAATTTAAGTGTGCAACAGCAACAGAACAGAAGCAAGAAGACACACAGAAAAGCACGCTGCAATGTGTGCAAATTCTATTTTCACAGTCCAATCTGACAGTCTTTCTGTAATAGCTATGTGCATAGCAGGGGATGGTTTTTTGAGTCGTAAGTTATACAACCATATGTTTTTTGTAATAACTGCTATTTTTTTTACTCACAGGTCAATGTAATAAACATAAAATAAAAATAACCCCCCGAAGTCTGAATCAATTTCTGAATTTTTTTTTTGCATTTGGCTGAGTCTATCATTAAAATCCAGACACATTCCTTTCCCTTACATTTATATCCCTCATGACTGCACAGAGTACTTCAAATCCTATGTGATATCAAGTCTGTCAGCTTACCACTCGTGAGATCTGAACAACTTTAATCTTTCAAGCATCCATTCACAGATCTAATGGGCACGTGCACCAGCTGCAGAAATAGGGGTGTTTTTGCTGTATGGTAAAATGCAGCTCTCACTGCTAGCATGCCTCAGCCATGCCCTGGGGCAGCAGCCCAGGGATGCGATGCGGCAGCAGGCTCCTGTGTGAGCCCTCAGCTGGGTCACACAGGGCAGAGATGAAGCGACAACATCCACAGCATTCAAAAGATAATGAAGGAAAGGAGAACATAAATTCAAAGGAATAATAAAAAAATATTTTAAATATTCTTACCACCATGCTGTCTTCCAGGGGCTCCTGCTTCTCCTTTTGAGGTTGCCAGGCTTTGGGGCTGCCTTTTCTCCCTCAGCCACCACACGCTGTCTGTAGGGCAAAACCCAAGGTCTCAGCTGCTGGGGCAGAGGGTGAGGCTCTCCACAGGGAGCTGTGCCCAGGCCGCCGGGGTTGGCCACTAATGGCTGGGCTGCAGTGGCCCTGCTGTCCCCTCTGTGGCCTCCACAATGGTGGGGCTGTCTCCAAGAATGGGGCTGCTCTGGAGCCGCCTCTACTTCGCCTCAAGTGTGCAGGAAGGAGCGAGTGATACACACAGGGCCCTCACAGAGCGGGAGCCCTGACAGAAACCCTCTGCTCCTCCGTCTCCTTGCTTCGGTTAGCCCCAGCTTCTCCAGGCTCCCACTCCTCTGCTGCCTTCAGGATCCGCAACAGGTCTCCTCTTTTCAAAGTGTGACATGTATTTATTACACTCTGATTCAAACTTCAGTGTATGTTTTCAGAGGGCACAGCAGGCTGATCTAAAGCTCACTGCCACCAAAGGGGAATGAACGCTTTACCCACCTCCTCTCCCCTCCACACTGTCAGCCTGGGGCTTGTGAGAGCCCTTCTTATGTGCCAATCCTGTTGGCTAAAATAGCAAAAAAAAAACCAAACCCAAACACAACACCCCCAAAACCAATCATTGAAAAATTAAATATGTCTCTGCCAATCACAGCAGGGCCCAGAGTTTGACAGAGCAGGCGTAGGAAAGCAGATGCACAACCAGTAGCAAGAAGAGTGGGAAGTGGAGGGAAAAGAGGATTAAGTCTCCTCTTGCCATGTTTGATCAGTGTATTGAATTTCAGTCTTTGTTTTATTTTAACTCTGAAGCCCACATATACCAGCCTGGCATTGCCAGGCCTTTCCCCTCAGTCACTGTTATGTGCTAATCAAGTGCTGGCACCATTCTGGGACCTGGCTCAAGCAGCCATCTTTGCTCCTCTCACTGCTCAAAAGAGCTATCAGCAGTGAGTTTTCTCCTTTCTAAGATAAAAAAGTTTCCTAGGACACGAATTACTTTTATGATATTTAGGAACTGATTTGACCGTTAAGATACAATGACTGAAATGCAGCCTGAGCCCCTTTCATAAATGAAAGTGCCACAGTGCCTAAATGTGTACATCCCCAAGGTTTTGTTCAGAGAAACATCCTTCTAAAGTGTAATGTTAGCTTCTCCTGTGCAAGCTAACACACTCATGCAAATGCATGTAACTTTTCAAAAATGGGATGTGAACATTTTTCTTAAAAATCACATCATAAAACCATGAGAAAAAATGTGCAGAAAAAAAAGCATTATAATCTGCATATGGATGAATCTGGTGGCATTATCTAATAATGTGTTCATATTGACATAATCTTGGAAAGCTCTCTTGGGTGTGATACAATTCAGTAACTAATGGAATCTAACTTTTTATGCCTCTCTAGAAAACTGGAGAGAGCTAATCTTTCACTTTTTATCACTCTTATCCCTCTTCCCACCCCACAGACAAAATGGTTTTCATCAGTGCTGAAGGTATATTGAAGAGTTGCTAGTATAAAGACATAGGCATAACAAAATGCAGTGATTGAAGTTTAAACTGACAAATTTTAAACAGGAAATAAAAAATGTTTTCAATGTTGAGTTATGGAACTACTAGAGCAGTTTACCACAGGCATGGAAAACTCGGCATGTTTTGCAATCAAATTTGAATTGGCTGTCTTTCTTTATAAAAAGATATTTTCTTGTGAAGTTTTTGGTAACCATGGAAATTGACAGATAAGATAGGCAAGAGGTTAGGTCAGGCCAGACCACTATAACCACCCCTTTTTACTACAAACCATGGTTATCATCCTCTGTACACACCAAGCCGCAGGCTGATTGCCTTCCAGACAAGCAGTATGTTTTCTAACAAAGTTGACTTTACAGCTGAAGCTGGAGTGCTCCTTCCCTAATTCCACTGATGAGTTGATGGCCTGCAGAGAACTGTGAATTTGGAGGATACTCTGCAGTTAAGGCCAAATACAGTTCATCTTACATGACTATGAATTTTAGAGAAAGTAATCAGCCTGGGTAATGTAAGTGGTATACAGTCATGCATCTTTGCTTTCCAGTTTCATTTAGTACTGGCCACTTCCAAAAGAGCATTGGGAAAATCTTTTTTCCTATATTAGCAATTTCTCCAAAGAGCGAAGAGACAGATGTCATTGATTTTAATTTCACTAAGTGCATTCACTGTAATTATCCACTAGCTGGTGATCCTGTCCCTCTACTCTGCTCTTGTGAGACCTCACCTGGAGTATTGTGTGCAGTTCTGGTGTCCTCAACATAAAAAGGACGTGGAACTGTTGGAACAAGTGCAGAGGAGGGCCACGAGGATGATCAGGGGATGGAGCACCTCCTGTATAAAGACAGGCTGAGAAAGTTGGAGCTGTTCAGCCTGGAGAAGGCTGCATGGAGATCTCATAGCAGCCTTCCAGTATCTGGGGATGGACTATTCATTAGGGACTGTAGTGACAGACAAGAGAAAACGGGTTCAAACTTAAACAGGGGAAATTTAGATTGGATATAAGGAAGAAGTTCTTTACTGTAAGGGTGGTGAGGCACTGGAATGGGTTGCCCAGGGAAGTTGTGAACGCTCCATCCTTGGCGGTGTTCAAGGCCAGGTTAGGCAGAGCCTTGGGTGACATGGTTTAGTGTGAGGTGTCCCTGCCTATGGCAGGGGGGTTGGAACTTGATGATCTTAAGGTCCTTTCCAACCCTAACGATTCTATGATTCTACAATTCTATGTTACAAAAAAAAAACAAACAACCAAACCAAACCAAAACCATAAACAAGAATTGAAACCTACCTTCAGAAAAACCTGACAAATGTCAAGTCCTGTAACCAGCGGACTTGAATAGCTGCATTTGTTATGGGATATTTTTTTGCCTAATGTCCAGCTAAGTGTTCAGAGGGAAATTTGATAGAAAAGAAACAGAAAAAATAAATATGCTGTAAACATCAGTAAGTAATGTAAAACTATAAAAGATTACTTAGCAACAGTAATGCAGTTAAATCAATATTCTGGCATCAGTGCTATGCATTTCAGGATGACAAGTTCTGGTATTTTCCAGACTCTTCCACCCTACAGCTGCCCATTAATTACCTTCATTTCTCAGCTGGCAGTACAAACAGGGTACAAATGTTTAGTCTGCTGCTTGTGTTAATATCTAGGAGCTGCAGTAGACAGAAGGTTTCCAGAACTCTGTATATAATCACCCTATGAAATTGCTTAGCTCTGATGTTTGCTAGCATTACCAGCATATTTTCTTTTTCTTACAAATAAAGTAATAGACAAAAATGTCTCAAACTAACAATAACTTGTGATCATTCTTAACAAAACCATTTCAGAGCAGAGCACTAATTCCACCTCAGTATCAGTTTTAGATGTGCTTATTTACAAGCTGCATGTTAGGATGCAGTTTTAGGACCAGACTGATTTACACAGTGGAACATTTGCGTAAGCCACCTTGTGTTCCCACCACATGAATAACAGTTTAGGAAGAAATGGAGGTCCATAAACTAGTATGTTCTGTAGGTCTTCTCAGGCAGTGAAGCAATAGCAGCATGAGACAAGAAGCACATTGAATGTTACTGCTGTGCTCCCACCAAGGGAAACAAACTTGATCCTAGGCATTGACTCACTTGGTCACTTGTTGGGGCAGAAAGCAAACCAGAGTATAAACATGCATGTGCACAAGAGCTTTCTGTCAAGCCTGGCATTTGATCAGGCTTCTGCATTGCCATGTAAACCAGTCAGTGCAATTCATCATCAAAACTCTGACTAGAGGTAGCATATCATTACTTTTCTGAAGTACCCATTTATTAGTGGCAGACAGTTCAACTTTGAGAGCAAAGAGCAACAGCTAGGACACTGTGTCAAAATTTCTATTGCCACTTTATTAGGAGGCACCCTCAGCCTGTTTGGTCACTCAGGCAGGACCATAACCCTGTCAGCATTCCTTGGACTACATCTTCTCTATGAGCATCATCATCAATGGCTCTTAATGCCACTTCTTTTTACCAGATAGGAGCTAACTGAATATATACAGGAGGGACTCAGCCCTGTTCCTTAAAAGACTTTCTCAGAGCATGACAGTGTGAATTTTTTTATTTACACTTGTTTTCTCAGGCTTTTTTTCTCACTGCAGCTGTAGAAAAGTGGTAATTCAATGACCTACTAACTTTTTCCACATAAAAAGCCAGCAGCAGCAGAACTGATGTATTAATGTAGTTTCTCCTATTGCAGTAGGCTGGCATGGATGTAACTGACAGATATGATAGCTACCCTGATCTTGCAGTGTTTTACAAATGTCACCTAGCATCAATAGATTTCTCATACACATGAAATTAAACTCAAGTTAATATCAGTGGGACTGCAGTTTAAGTCAGGTCCAATAAAACTATAGGTCTGCATAGCAAAAGGAATATAAGTGGCCTTGCTGTCTGACCATGTACATACTTCATCTTGTTTATAAGAACTACTGAATACAGCAATAATGTGAGTTTACTTGTTTCTATACATTAATGGAATATGCTGAAGATTTCAATCTTCACTGTTGTTCCTTCCAGCTCGTGCTGAGGCAGCCTGCAGGTTTATACAGCTGAACTTTCCTAATTTATTTTATAGAGATTATTTTTTGTCAATGGAAATACAGATTAAACCTAAAATGATTTAAAATTGAAGCTAGAGACAAATGATGACAGCTGGTCCCCAGAGGGAGGGTTCAAGTCTCCAGGTCACAGATACTGGGGAATTTCCTCTTTGTGTCTCAATGGCTGTTGCTAAGGAGACAACTTTTGCTTCAATAAGCCTGTGGGATGGATTAGTTGACATATATGCAATATTTCTGCTACTAAGACAGAAGTGAAGCACAATCTGTGGAGCTTTTGTCACAGAAGCCCCCTTACAAGGCCATTTTCAGCTACTATAATTGCTTCTACTGACCAAAGTTGGTAACCTCACCATTTTTCCTGTTTCCTTTGCAGTCATCTTCATTTCAGATGAGAAGGAAAATGTTGCTGTGAATGGCAAGGAGATGATACCTTA